ATATTTGGTTGATGAGTGGCTACCAAGTCAAATTTTAGATCACTAAAGAAAGAAGAAGAAGAATTGTATGGCCAAGAATTAAAGTCATTAACAGTGGAACCCCACCATCTACTGAGTTTATGGAAATCCTTACCCCTACATCTACAGAAATGATAAAATCTTTTCTTTCTTTTTTTTGGTGATCAAGAATTACTGATTTGACACCTCTTTCTCTGAATTTTGATTCTTTTTCAATTAAGTAGGGCCATTTGTAAAAAAACACAAACGTGCATGGAGCAGAGTGGCGACAGATTGATAGGTCTGTAATCTGAAACTACAAAACCTTTGGCTTGTGAAACAAGTATCTTATTCTGTGGTTGAGACTTGGAATTGCCACATAACAAGTACATCTGGAGAAGTGATTTGGCTCCACTCATGTCTTTCCATAGGCTTTTCTTACTCTGTCTAAAATCTTGAAGTGGTATGAGTTCAATTACCGTGTATAATAAATTTTTTATTTTATCAGATTAAAATAATTTACAAAAACAGATATGACACTCTCTAAAATAAACTTAACTTGATAATATAAATTAAAGTAACTGACTTGTTATAATAAAGTAAAATATATTAATAATGATAAGATTAATTATATCGTAGGAGTGTATACAAGTTAAATCATTTTGATGAGGCTCGCGAACGAGGCTATATCATCAAAAAATTACAGTGTATATATATGTAAATTATTAGATTTTAGAGATATCTAATATATATTGAACACCCTTCGTTGTAGAATTATTTTTACTCTTTTTAAAATATTTTTGGAAAAATTTCTTACTTCGTCTGATGATCATAATTCAGACTTAACTCACGGCTGTCGGACCAAAACCACAGGTGGCTATGAATTCAAGGTTTGGAGTGAACCAAGTGGGCGGTTTATAAAATTTGTGGTTTTGTGAGGCCAGTAAAAGATGAGCTTTTGTTGTTGGACGTGGATTGTGGACGGCATTTTCCTTGACCCAGCTTTTGTTGGGAAAATAATACTTCCGTAATGATTTTAATATCTTTTCACAACCAACATCTGGTTACCATCAGCTCCTCTATTTTTATTCAGTTACTTTAAAAAAGGTCTGGAAAAGACATTGGTTTTGGAAGTTATAGAGAGGATCGTTTGCTTGGAGGTTATGCAGTCATTTTTGTAAGCGATGTTAATATTTAAAAAAGTAAACAAATGAATAAATTACTGTAATGACAACAGTATTATTTTATATATTTATATCCAATATTTTAATTTTATTTATTATTTATACATATTAGATTACAAAAAAAAGTTCGATGAAGTGGTGGTGTTCGTGAAATTAAGGTGCCTACGCTACTGTTTGCAAAATCAATCCTTTACGTGCACTAAATTTTAAATTAATTGTGGATGGTTACATAAATCTTTTATATCCATTCATGTTCATTTCACTCGATACTATAGTAATTTTTCTTTTAAGACAAAGTAAAGGTTCTAGAAATCATATACTTATTCCGAATGGGTAAAATACAATAAAAGAAAGAAAAACTCAATATATTACTATTTAAATGGTAAAATGTTGAAAATTTACGTAATACATCAAAATGCATCATTAATCTTTCAGAGTACAATAACGCTAGTAAAAAAAATGAAAATAGAAGATATGAATTGTAGGGTTTTGGCTTAGTTCCCCACTACAACTCTGTGTTACTGATTTAGTTTAATAAACTTCTACCATCTTGAGGGGGTTAATTTTTAGTTTGTGTTCTAAAAAAACATATGAGATGAAAAGAGGAGATTACTAACTAATGATCCCCAAAGGAAGTTGCTAGAGTTACAAATGATAACAACTAATATATCCTAAATCAATCCTCCATCGTAATCATTAATCGCTGCCAAAAACAACCCATAACATTTGATTTGGTATTTGAGAGAGGAATGAGAGTGAGATCGCGATAAGGAGATGAGAGAGAGGAGTAAACACTACGGAGTATAATTTTTTTTCAACTATACGCTTAAACATCTTTATTATTAAGTTTAACAGTAAAATAGTAACTTATAGTAAGTTGTAATAGCATTATGAGCAATTTCGGATTTGATGAGTATAAGAAACAAAATTCTCAAGGATCAAATCTAAAACAAAAGTAACAAAAATTAAATCATAAAAAGGATCAAATTTATCCACAAATATAAAAGGCTTGAATGTTACACAAAATTTTAAAGAAGGTAGGTTGGCGCAATATTTGAAACTTTAGAGGGCATGTATTATAAATCAAAACTTCAAGGGAGATATGTGAAAGTACCTTAAATAAATGAAATAGTAGCAACTTTTAAAGCTCTTTTGGTTAGTTCATTCACTAAGAATACAGTACATATCAGTGTCCATTGTGGTGTTAAACATATTTATCATGATCGAATCAAGTTGGGGATAACCTTACCAAAATGCGACTACGTATTAGAATCTATAAGGGGATAAATTTTAATAGAAATATTATTGTTTACCCGTAAAACGGTACAATTGAATTTGTTGTGTGGTTTATAGATAAGCGTTTGATCCCAAAATGATAAATAAATTAAATAAAAATGTAAGACTTAGCGTTGAAATCGAAGTAAATAGCAGACAGCCTGGTTCCAGGAACAAGGCTTCTGAAGACAACGATAAGAACAATATTAGACAGAAAATAAAGTATTATTTAGCTTGAGAACAATGTATAGCATAAGTTTTGTCAGAGATCTCCTCTCTACAATGGTTGTTGAAGCTCTTATTTATAGATATACCTTTGGAACAAGATCCTAGGATCAAGCTGCTCTTAAATGACAATAATGGGACCATTGATGAATATGTAACGGCAGGGCATGAATGCCAAAATTCTCTGCAACGGCTATGCATTTAATACTGAAAAATATTCTTCATTAAATGTCATCCGATGACAAACATTCATTCTCCTCCGTTGACTGCGTTCCCTTTGGGATCTACCCGATACCAACCGAAGTTGTTATCCTCGGTTTTGTCTCCCACTCGCTTCATCTTCCGTCTTTCTCCGGCTACATGTATCATGTAATCATTCAAGCATTTAATATAAATCAATTTTACCCAATAAAAATAGTCCCCCTACTATTCGGTGGCACAACTTTGTGTCATCCGAAAGTTGGTGAAGATTTCTTTATTGGCGGGACATTTTCTGAACCCTTCTGAAAAGTTTCTGACATTTGATAAGACGCACGTCTCTTCGCATTTAATACTCCGAACACGTGTTACCCCACGATTTAGCAATATTTTCGCCGGTTTTCGAGATAATCATGGCCACGATTTTAGTCGCCTAGACTTTTACTTATACGCATCATTCTTCTTCTTTCACTTCTAACAACTTCATAAGCTTTCTTAACTTCTTTGCACTTAACTTCCTTTTGCTTTCATCTCTCTTTGATCTTCTTAAAAAATCTCTACCATCTTTTTATCATTATGGCTTCTTCTACTAATTCTTCCAAGAACTCTGGTCTTCTCTTCGGTAGGGCCCGAAGAGGAGCAAAGATAAAGAAGTTGATGTTGATGTTGATCCTCCTACGGTGAGCACCATCATACCTAAACATCTGAACACTGCCAAAGATTTCGAAGAGAAGTTCCTTTCTTAAAACCCTCGAACTTGGGTTGTTGATAAATAACTCTCTTCTATTCGTCCTTCCAGTATTCCTGCTGTGAAGGAGGATTGTGACTGCCATGCCTTAAATATCATTGCTCCCGATCTGGTGGAGCGAGTAACCTTCACTAAGAAGGGTTTCACGTACGTTTATATGTACCCTTTCACTTTGGCCCTATTCTCATTGAGCGGGGGACTTGACCTCGTGATTTTGGAGTTCTGCCACCGATATCAAGTCTGATTGGCATAAGTAGGCCCCTCCGTGTGGCGAACGGTTCATAGTCTACAATAAATGTGCTTGGAAA